AAAAAATCCTCTCAAAAAAAAAAAAAAAAAAAAAACAACCACCAGAATTCTATTTCCTGTGCCTAGGCTGCTGAGTCCTGTAGGAGAAAAATCATGCATGACACTGACTAATACCACTACTAATGAATAGTTGTCAGTTTCAGTAGAGCTTGCAAGTGACTGAAAAGGCTTCATTTATTCCTTGTCAGCTTCCAGTAAAGTTCCTCAGAGAAGAATATTTCAAATTATCACTCTCCAACTCCTTCCTAAACTTCACCATTCTGAATATCATTAAAGGGCTGTCCCTGTGGCATAGTAGTTAAGAGACCCAGATTCCACACGGCCAACTATGGAGTTCGCATACTAGCCCTGGTAGCTTCAAAAACACACCAGGTACATGTGTGTGCAAGTTCCAAATCTGGAAAAGAGGGAGAAATGAAGAAGGGAATGAGGCATGACCAGGTCCCTGGGGGATGTTTTGTCTGCCTCCCTTTCTATCTGGAGAGGGTAAAAACCCAGTGGCAAATTCAAAACATATAGTAACAACCTTGTGACCTAACTGCAGAAAAAAATACAGACTTTGGGACCAGCACATGGCATAATGATTACATTGTCAGACTCCCACGCAGCTTAAAACTCACGCCAGGCATGTGTAGGTCCGTGCCCAATATCCTAAGAGGAGGATGGAGAAGACAGGATTGCAGTGTGGCTATCCCCCTGGGGGGGGTGATTTCTTGCTTTCTGTCTCTCTCTCTGGCAAGTACATGCGCCCTACAGCAAAAAAACTCCCTTAAAAAAAAAAAATATATATATATATAGCCTTTAACATACCCAACTTTTAGCTTTCTTACCTGTCAACTCCACTTTCCTTTTAATCAGTCTATTGAAGGTTAACTGTGCCATCTGACTGCTCCAGTCCAACATCTGTTATTCCCTAAATTTATCAATGTAGTTAATTTTATATTCAACCTCTCTCTCCCTAAAGACTCCTTCGCATAAACATAAAACAGATATCACCTATCTTAAATAGCAGCTATTAAAACAGAAACAAAAAACAAAAAACAAACCTCCCCAAAACCTTCATCTACAATATCTCCGCAACCCTGTATAACTTAAAAATAGCAACCACTTGGGGCCAGTAGGTGGCGTAATGGTTACACTACTGGACTCTCACGTGGTTGACTGCAGTTCAAGTCCCGGACCCAGCAGCTTAAAACTCATGCTAGGTACATGAGTGCGTGCCCCAAATCCCGAGGAGAAGGGATTGCGGTGTTGCCACCCCCCTAGGAAATGATTTCTTGTTTTCTATCTCTCTGTCTCAACACCACCCAAAAAAAAACACTCTTAAAAAAAAAAAAAAAAAAAAAAAAAAAAAAAAAAAGGCAACCACTCATTTTGGTTGTTGTTTAGCTGGGACAAAAATCTAGCAGTCTCCCAAATCAAATGTCATTCTACCTATAGATGCGATGATAAGGTACCTACTAATTTCACTAAAAGGGAAACAGAACACATCTTTTTAAACCCCCAATTCATATGGCTTTGTTTCTAAAATTTACACCACAGCTGTTGCTGTTGTTTTTTTAAGTGAGATTTTTGCTAATAAGGCGCATATGCTTGCCCAAGACACAGACAGACAGAAAGTAAGAAATCACCCCCAGGGTGGATGGCCATGCTATAATCCCTTCTCTATTCTCCTCTCAGGATTTTGGGCACACATACACATGTGCGTGGCGTTGTCGCATTCAGGACTCAAACTGGTTGAGTATGTGTGAGCCAGCGATTATAACCATTATATCAACTGCTGCCCCCCCTTTTTTTTTTGAGAATCTTCCCATTCAACTTTATTTATTTTATTCATCCACTTTAATTTGACCAGAGAAGGACAGAGTGAGATAGAAAGCGATGATAAGTGAGAAAGCAAGCCGCCAGGTCCAGGACCTGAACAGCAGCTGGCTATGTGAGAATCCAGCATCCCCAGTCACCATGCTACCTGTTGGCCCCCAACCACCATGCCAGCTGCTGGCCCCAACCAAGTTTGTTTTACACATGTATCGTTTTCTGTAATAAACCAACTTTTATAACTTTGAAATGCTTTGATTCAATAACTTTTGACATTTAAATATTAACATTTATGGAACAGCAAACATAAATAATGAAAATTAATGAACAAGATTTTCAACACACTGTTCCCCTGTATTATGTGTTAGAAACTGCAACATTTCTTTCATACACAAAGTAGATCTAAAACTAGTCTATTATTACATGATAATCTTCATTCTGAATCTTCTCATCATCTTCATCCTCTTTGGCCTCTCTTACAGAAGCAGTAGTAGGACCACCCTCAAGAAGACTGTCAGAACATGAGCCAGACTTCTTAGTTCGAGTTTCAGGAACATCATCATTTTGGGGGCTAAGATGATTATCTGGTGGTGACAAGTCTCTTGATTTTTGAGTTCGGGACAGCTCAATGGTAAGTCTCTTTAAAAACAAAAACACAAATAGCCATTAGTGATAAGCAATGCTTCACCTGCACAGTAAAAAAATGTTTCAAGTGAGACCAGCAGACGGTGTAGCAGTTATGTTGCTGGACTTCCACATGGCTGATCATGGGCTGATCGAGTCCTGGACCCTGTGGCTTCAAAATCACGCAGGGTGCATGTGTGTGTGAGTCTGAGAACCCGGGAGGAGAATGGAGGAAAAGGGGCTACAGCATGGCTAACCCTCTCCCTCAAGGGTGATTTCTCACTGTCCCTCTCATTGTGTCTGTCTGTCTTTCTCTCTCTGGCAAGTGCTTGTACCGTAAGGCAAAGACCTCTTTTAAAAGTTTTAAGCAAAACAATTTATCCAGATGTTCCTAAAACTATTGCTTAAATCACTTCCATAACCCCTCTTCCTTTTGTTCATTAAAAAAATCTGTGACAAAGATAAACTTTCATTTATTTTCATTCCTGTTTCATATTCAGCCCACGCTATACCAACAATTAGCAAACTATATTATAGTGAATGTAACTTTTTTTTTTTTTTTTGGAGAGGTTTTCGCTATAGGGCACGTGCGCTCACCAGACAGACAAGAGACATAGAGACAGAAAGCGAGAAATCACCCCCCAGGGGGGATGGTCACGCCGCAATCCCTTCTCCTCCAATCTCCTCTCGGGATCTTGGGCACGCACGCACACGCGCCCGGCGTGAGATTTAAGCCACCAGGTCCAAGACGCGAACCGCGGTCGACTACGTCGGAGTCCAGCGACATAGCCATTCCGCTAACTGCTGGTTCCCAATATAGTGAATGTAATTTTGACATAAAAAACCGGGACCAGCAGACAGCATAATGGTTACGTCACTGGACTCCCATATAGTTGACCGTGTCCTGGACCCGGAGGCTTAAAACTCACACGAGATATAAAGTGCATTCATGCCCAAAATCCCAAGAGGAAAATGGAGGAGAAGGCACTGTGGCATAGCCATTTCCCTTGGGGGTGACTTTGTGTTTCTGTCTCTCTGGCAAATGCACGTACCCTATAGCAAAAATTTCTTAAAAAAAAAAAAAAAAAACTAAAAAAGACATATATTGAGCATGTCATCCTCAGCCCTTGTGGCAGAAGGAGAGGCGACCCCCACCCAGCCCATGTCCCAGAAGGAGCCCGAGAGTTCAGCCTCAGGGAGGAGAGGTGGAGGACAGTGACTAAGACGATGATGATGATGAAAAAGAGAAAGGAAAGTCTTATCATGGAAGGCTAGAGGGAAAAGAAAAAAGTAGAGAGGCTGACAATGCAAGTCTCTTCCTTACAAAGAGAGTCATTTACAACTGCTCAAGGAAAGGGGCAGAAACTCTGTGGGATTGAAAGGATACATTTCTTTCTGAGTAAGAAGAAAACAGATGAACTTCGCAATCTACACAAACTGCTTTACAACAGAGCAGGCACAACAGATCAGGCACAGTATCCTCATTAAAGAAGAATATGGACCAGGGACCAGCAGTTAGTGTAATGGCTATGTCACTGGACTCCCATGTAGTCGACCGCAGTTCGAGTCCCGGACCCGGTGGCTTAAACTCACGCTGGGTGCATGTACATGTGTGCCCAAGATCCCGAGATGAGAATGGAGGAGAAGGGATTGCGGTGTGGCCATCTTCCCTCGGGAGTGATTTCTTCCTTTCTGTCTGTCTCTGTCTTTCTGGTGAGCACACACGTTCTATAGCAAAAACTCTCCAGAAACAAAAAAAGAAGAATGTGGATCAGTTCAGTGGCTTTCCATTTGAAAAAGGAAATATCCAATATAAAAAGAAAGAAACATTGAAAAAATTTAGAAATGCCATGTTAAAGAGCATCAGTGAGGTTCTAGATTTGGAGAGATCAGGTGTAAATAGTGAATTAGTGAAGAAGATATTGAATTTCTTAATGCATCCAAAGCCTTCTGGCAAACCATTGCCAAAATCTAAAAAATCCTCTAGCAAAAGCAGTAAAAAGGAATAGAACGGTTCTGGAATGGCAAGGAAAGGTAAGCAAACCAAATGTCCTGAAATTCTGTCAGATGAATCTAGTAGTGATGAAGATTAAAAGAAAAACAAGAGTCTACAGATGATGAAGATAAAAAAAGCGAAGAGGAGCTGACAAAAAAGAAATCTAAAAGAGAAAAATCCAAACAGAAAGCTACTTCTAAAAGTAAAAAAAAAATTTGTAAAAAGTGCTAACATTAAGAAAGCTGATAGCAGTGCCACCAAGAAGAATCAAAACAGTTCTAAAAATGAAAGTGAATCCAGGGATAGTTCAGATGATGAGCCCTTAATTAAAAAGTTGAAGAAACCACCTACAGATGAAGAGTTAAAGGAAACAGTCAAGAAATTACTGGTCGATGCTAACTTAGAGGAAGTCACAATAAAGCATTTTTGCAAAAAGGTATATGAAAATTATCCTGCTTATGATTTCACTGACAGAAAAGAATTCATAAAAACAACTGTTAAAGAGCTAATTTCTTGAAATAGAAGACAGAGAATGATGACTTGTTCCCATATAGATTTGAAGATCTTATTTATTCCATTATACCAGTAAAGAGAATGCATTTCCTTTTCTAAATCCTCATTAAATATTGTGTTGGTAGACCATACTGCTGACCCTTTTATCTTGAGTGTTACACAAATTTGAGTTTGTTGTTTTAAATTGCATTTCTATGCAGTTTTTAGTTTGAACTCTTGCATGGGAATAACTCTTGCTTTATAGTTGTATTTTGTATATTCTGCATTTCTAAGGTCATAGATTTTTGAACTGTTGTGATTTTTAGTGCACTTAATAATAGCTTGCTTAAGATATACTTTTAATCAAGCAGAATAAAAACTATTGTGGCTAGCATTTATACATGCAGAGACTATTGCAGTATTTAGTGTATAAAATATTTTGAATACACGTCTCTCCTGTCAGTGGCAGTGTTCAGTATATTAAAAATACACAGGCTACAGATGTCCAGACAACTAAATTGGGATTTTTCTCTTCTATGTGTCAAATTGTCGGCATGACAAAAGTGACAGATACTATTTTTGTATTTTTAAAAACCTATTTGTTGTATGTAAAGTTTTTTATTTATTTTGTGCAGATCACTTTTTCAACTCACAGAGGCTGGTGTGAGATGTCAAATGTCAGTGTTCAGCCAGGTGGGGTGATGGAGCAGAGAAAGGCAGAGTCTCGTGATGGAACACTGGAGCAGTCCCCTGCTCTGCCTTGAACGTGTCATCAATGTGTATGTAGTGTTAGTGTTAACTCTGCAAGTGAAGTGTCTATGGAGAAATATTATATTAAAGACAGACCAACACATCAAAGCTTCAAAACCTTTGGGAAAGGGTGGGATTGAGTACAAGCACTTTTGGTTTTTTTTATTAAACGCCTTTGTCCATATGAAATGGGAATATTAACACGAAATCTGGCCACCTTCATATTTAGGAATAAAAGCACCAGGTTTGATGCCAAAAGAGAACATGTAGGCAACAGTGGGTTCTTTCACAATGTGTTTCTCAAAAGCATTCATGTAAACTTCAACATTTAAGAAACAATGTATGATGGAATCCGGCTGCTATGTTTTAAATTTTGGCTCTAAATTTTGGCCATTCAGGAACAGGTGATCAAACTATGGATCACTCCCAAATAAGATTAATATTGTCTTTTAAACTGATTGTGATCAGTTCATTATATAATCTGCCTCTGATTTTCAAAATAAAACATGCTACTTTGACAGAATTAGACACTTGCTACCAATTAAATGCTTAAAACTATTTGCATCATAGAACAGAAGCATAAAAATAATATATATTGAATGGCAATTCTCACAGGTTTGACTTGTTTCTTAATATAAGACACTTAGGAGGCGCGACCGGGCCAGCGCTGGGGGAAGGAGCTGCTGAGGAATGCCCAAGAAGTTCCAGGGCGAGAACACCAAGTCGGCAGCGGCCCGGGCACGCAGGGCGGAGGCCAAGGCCGCGGCCGATGCCAAGAAACAGAAGGAGTTGGAGGATGCTTACTGGAAGGATGAGGACAAACACGTCATGAAGAAGGAACAGCGCAAGGTGGGTGGAGAGGCGCCTGGAACAGCTGGAGCGGAAGAAGGAGACGCAGCGCCTGCTGGAAGAGGAGGACTCAAAGCTAAAAGGCGGCAAGGCCCCCCGGGTGGCCGCGCCCAGCAAAGTCACCCGTGCGCAGATCGAGGACACGCTGCGGCGCGACCACCAGCACAAGGAGGCCGCGGACACAGCGGAGAAAGCCAAGAGCCATCTGGAGGTGCCACTGGAGGAGAACGTGAACCGCCGCGTGCTGGAGGAGGGCAGCGTGGAGGCGCGCACCATCGAGGACGCCATAGCGGTGCTCAGCGTGGCGGAGGAGGCAGCGGATAGGCACCCAGAGCGCCGCATGCGCGCAGCCTTCACTGCCTTCGAGGAAGCCCAGCTGCCGAGGCTCAAGCAGGAGAACCCCAACATGCGGCTGTCGCAGCTGAAGCAGCTGCTCAAGAAGGAGTGGCTGCGCTCTCCCGACAACCCCATGAACCAGCGGGCCGTGCCCTTCAATGCCCCCAAGTGAGCCCAGAACTGGGGGAGCCGCCCCGTGGGCGGTCCAGGTCACGATCCCCAAAGGCCCTCCTGCTGCCGAGTCGGCTCAGAGGATTACAGAGAGGTCCCGGGGACCCAGGCGCCTGTCTCGGGGGCTATGTGCCAACACCGGCCAACCCTCTTCCAGCCAGAGGGTCCCTGCTCCCAGTGACACCCCCAAACCCCCGAGCACGTGTGTGTAAAGCCCCGGGGCTGAGCGCCCAATAAAGGTGGTCGGTCCGCAAGGCTGCGGTGAGGCAAAAAAATAAAAAATAAAAAAAAAAGACACTTAGGAAAAAGTCTACTTAATACTTTTGAAGGGAATAAGCAACTAAATGAGAACTGATAACTGGCCTTTGGTTTTAAATGTATAATTTGTTCTTATAAACTTTTTCAATAAATATAGTATAATCCAGTGGTTATCTTTTTAAAAAAAAAAAAAAAGAGAGAAGAAAGTACACAAATATTCATATCTTTCTTCGTCATCTATTACCAACTCTCAGTACTCCAAACTTCCTATCATGTACCAAGCTCCAGTGAGAGAAAAGAAACATTCTTTAAGCAATTTTGTTTACCATTTTAAAATAAAATTTCATTGACTATTATTCATCAGTGCTCATTTAACAATAGTGAGGGTTCAAGATGGAGCAATGACTCCACACGCCCAACTGGATGGTTTGAATCCAGATCCAATGGCTTGAAAAGCACACTGAATACATGTACATGTGTTCCCAAAATCCTGAAAGGAGGGAGAAATGGAAGAGAATGGACTGCTGTGTGACCATGCCCCGTGGGGTAGTTTACACTTTCCCTTTCTCTCCTCTCTAGGGGTGCACAAGTCCTCTAGCAAATTAAAAAAAAAAAAAAGGCAACTTTCAATTGTTTTATGGCTTAAAATCCAGTAAATCTGAGAAATCCACCTGTGGAAAAGAAATAGCCAAAAAAGCACTGAGAGAAACATAAAGAACTTACCCTATGCGACACAACATAATGAGATTATGGAAATGTTCTGTATCTGCAATACGGATACAAGCACTTGAAATGTGGCTACCACTTAGGCACTGAATTTTTAATTTTAAGTTAAATGAATACAGCTGTATGTGTTTAGGGGCTTACTAAGTTAAGTGCAGAACTAAAGACTGAAAGGTTAGGTAAGGGTGAGGAACAGGATAAACAAGATTTTTTTCCTACAAAGTTACTAGCAACAATACCCAAATCTAACCATAGATGTAACAGGCCAAAAGGACAATGTGAAATGCTAAGCCAGAAACAGATGTTATTTCTTACCTCTTTAAGGTTGTTTATTTGCTGGATATAACTAGTCTGCGCAGCTTCCAACTGAGTAATATACCAATGCTGGTCCCGGCATTTTTGAAAGAAAGTTGGTGAACGTACCTGAAACCTTAAAAGAATAACTTCATATGTAAAAATAATTCAAAGAGTAAAATATTACCAACCTAGCCTTGAATGCATAATTACAAATGCTACACCGTTACGGTAAATTTCAAATGAATTCTGAGCTCTTTATAGTCACTGTAGGTACATGTAGTCCACAAATAATAATGACAAAAGTTCTGAAAAGTCGGTCATCTAAACTCAAACTGTACTTTTCTTAAAAACACTCACACATATGCGCGCGCGCGCACACACACACACACACACACACACACACACAAAACACTGTACATCATAGTCAGGATCCTAAATTTACTAGCGCATGCTTATAAAAAATATATATACAGCTCAAATAAATCCTCAAATACAAATTGACCATGAGATGGGAAGAAAAGGACAATACTATTCAGGAAGAAGTAAGATAATGATTTCCTCTTCCAAGGAAAATATATACCTTGCTTTAAGTGCAACCTCCCCTGTTTTATTTTATTTTTTTAGGTTTTTGTCATAGGGTGCTTTCACTCTCTGGAGAGACACAAAAAAG